GCACTGGGACATTAACATCACATCCTGAAAAACAAAATAGACGAAACTGGAACTGGGTCATTAACTTCACATACTGAGAAACAAAATACACGAAACTGGCACTGGGACATTAACATCACATGCTGAAAAACCAAATAGACGAAACTGTAACTGGGTCGTTAACTTCACATACTGAAAAACAAAAAAGACGAAAATGGCAATGGGACATTAACTTCACTTTCAAGAAAGCTAGAATACTTCCATAAGTAAACATTAACATCTTTAATTAACCTCAAATTAAACTAAGCGCACATAAAATCAAAATTAAGTGTAGTTTAGAATAATTTACACTCGTGTACTACGTATGTATTCTGGCTTATTCGCACTTTATAGTAGGAACGACTTACATATGCTAATTCTGCAGTTGTGAGCCGTAGCGCCATGAGCGGCACCCTTAGAACCTATGTATTTAGTTTACAGCTAATCATGACCACTCCATTGTGGAATGTCGCTACGAGTGGTCGTATGATAAATAATGCCGTATAGTCCTTTGCGAGGAACGATATTATTGTAGCGAGATTGCTGAGCGATGTAGAGCTATAGGCCGTAATATTTTGCAAACTGAAAGGAGCTTTCAATGCTCTTGAAAATTCGTACAGCAGAGTGCTTAAAAGAACAACAGGGTCCAAAATCACACCCCAGGCTAATCGGAGTAACTTCTTATCTACAGACCCAAGGCGATGGTTGCGAAAAGAGAACTCTTTAAACTAAAAATAACAGACGTTGTAATGAAGCTGGACTTTATCTCCTGGTATCGATAATAAGACTATAATCAAAGATTTGAAGTTGAGAAAGAACCGAAAGCTAAAAACGTTTACAAAACCTTCAAGCTGTATCTCAAAATCCAGGCTGTTTTCCTGAGAATGATGGCCAGATAAATAGTATTCATACCAGTCCAATTTTACTACCTATATGTATATATCTTGAATGCAACCCCAATATGCTTTTGGTCTTCTTAAACATGGTCTTGTAAAATGACGTCGGAGGACGGTAGAAGAGTTGCTAAGATATTTGGCCTAAGATTAACCTCGCTGTTCTTTACAGAAGCTTGTTACAATGTGAATTGCATTATGAGATAATAATGTGAAAGCATCGTCATCAAACCGAGTATAAGTTGCGGTGGAAGAAGTAGCTCCAAGCTTATTTAAGAGATCTGGAATATTGCTACTATAAAGTAAAATTAACTCTCAATACATAAAATGTTCGGACATGTTGATAAAATTCAAATGATTCTCATTTTGAGATACATTGAAACGCAGATATATTGCTGTTCAAAATTTAATATTAGCGTTATTTAAACAGCATTTTTCTTTATTTGTAGAGTCCTTCTTCTTTAGAAAATTTATTTTAATCTGTCAAACTTAAATCGGATCCAACATTAAAAAGAAACTAAGTTATTTTGCTTATAATAATACTGTATAAATAATTTACAAATATATATATCGTCTCTGGTTTAAGATTGTGTTCCACAATTTTGTACCTCAAATATTTTATAAGATACCTATGAGAAGAATAATCTTCTCTTGACTGAAGCCTCTCAGAGGCACAGCGGTTTGTCTGAGGACTTACAACGCTAGAAAGTGGGTTTAGATACCCGTAGTTGGCAGAGCACAGCTAGCCCCTTGTGTAGCTTTGTGCTTAACTTCAAACTCTTGACTGAAAAAAAAATCTGCTTAGTGGCGCCATCTAGTAAGACTACATAATGGCGCTTCTAACATAAGCGAAGGCACGTCCAGTAAAATGGCTTGATATTGAGATCTAACTTATAGGTTACAGAGTCAAAATGTTTACTTGAAATGTGATTAACTATTCTAAGGGTTATTATTATTACTATGTTGATTTATTATCCACATTTTATATACCAGAATAAAACCTACGTAATTACAGTGTACATACTGTTACACTATTTAAATCAAACTATCGGACCAAAAAAATCAAATTTGTCGCACCAACAGAACAGACTATTTAATAGCGAACTAAAAATTTCATTTAAATTGAAATTCCAAAGAAGGCATGAACACATTTTATTACTAATTACTGCTGATATTTTACCCAAACTTGTGATGCCTATTGCTATACAGTGATCTTATTTTTCTAGCCTGCCATTTTCAAATGTTTGAATTTCCAAAGAAGACCCTCAGCTATGCAATTTTCTGTTTACATTCCTTAAAAAGATAGGTAAAACAATTAACTTACCGAAACTACCAAAACACTTTTCTGACAATGTGGTTTCGCGTGTCTAAGATATTGTTGAAATTTCTTCTGCAAAACATTATTGTAGTTTAGCATAACTGTATAATCTATGTGTTTTAACAGTTTAAAACTAATAGCAAAAGCATTTTATACTTTTTCAAGTATACTTTATTTAAAAATACAACAACAAATAAATCCGGAATTAAGTAAGTACCATAGCCATTTTCATTTATATAAAAATGTATCTTGTATTGAACTCGTCTGTTTCCAGTTCCTGCAAAAAAGAGAAAGAAGAATTAATTCAGGCGAACGAGACCACATTTGTCGCGCTCCGAAGTTCGCGCCGGTTACGCCCCCCCCCCCTAAAAAAATCGCGCTCCATACTTTGGTGGCCATGGGTGCGATATAACTGCAATGGTTAAATACCACTTTTCGATTAGAGTAATCCACGAGTTGGCGGAGGGTGATGTTAACTAGTTGTAGTCTCTCTATTCTATCATTTTAAAGCTAGGAAGGGAAAAATATATATATATTCCTCTTGCGCAAAAATCAAGAAACTACGTCCAGCAAATTAATTTCATGCTGTCATATGTATAAATTACTTCACAGATACTGAGCAAATGAACTCAGTATAGATTTATTTTCTCGAAAGATGGCCGAAGGCCACCTGGAGGTGTCACCTGTTTTAACCACTCACACCACTATACAGTAGTGTGTTGTTTGTCAGCCAGTCAGTAGACTCTAAAATGACGTCACATAAGAGACACTTAACATTGCAATTTGTACCTTCGTGACATCAATAAAACGTGTGCATTCTTTAAGCTACAAAACACCACAACATATGAACTTCAAAATTAAGAAATCGAAATGTTTGTTACCTTTAACTTTGGTTTTATTTACTCTTGAAGCAGAACACTTTCAAGGACCCTGCGGTAATACGTCTATTCATTTCTTCTTTTTAACGCATGTTATCTACAAAGAGAAGTTAAAAGTGATCGGGCTTATCTATAAATATATGTACATTTGTCCACTATTTCCAAGTTGCAGGATTATTGTGCTTGATGTTAGTAGTCACTCATTAAATATAATAAAACTCACTTATCATAGCGCAAGTGGTGTGAGAAGCAAACATACGGTTAAATGGGAAATACATTTTTTGCAACCTTTGTAGAATTATTTTAATTTCCATCAGTTTCCCGAAAAAGCTGGAACAGAAAGAACAAATCAAATTGATTATCTATGAATCAATTATAATGAGTAGTTGCATTATATGTTTAGCCATATTTTTATTTTATTTTTTATGTGTTACGAGTGACGCCTTGAGTAAGTCTTATCTTGTTAAAGTTTGTTAAGCAAATACGAGCAGCTTACCACGGAAACTTCAAACAGTACCTATGTATTTTATCACAAATTCTCATTTTTAATCTAAAGTATTTATGAGTCATTAACTTCAATATCATAGGCGAGGTCACAATCTGAAGAGGGCTGGTTCGAGCCCCGTCACCGAACAGGCTCTTCCTTTGAACAGTGGAAGCGTTATAATTTGACGATAGATCCCACTGCTCATTGTAGAAGAGTAACCCAAGAGTTGGCGGTGGGTATGTATGTTTTGACTAGTTGCCTTCCCTCTAGTCTATCGCTTCAAAATTAGAAACAGGCTAGCGCGGATACCCATTGAGTTGTTTGTCGCGAAGGTCAATGAACAAACACAAGAACGAAGAGGTCACAGCTCAAAATTCAATAAACAAGCACACAAACAAAGAGGTCATGGTTGAAAAATACCGTACCACCAATAGATAGACTATTTAGCAAAATTCAGCGCAACACCGAATGTAATGATGCCGAATAACGAACTCTATGAAGATTTTATATGTAATTACGGGTTTATTTCTTGTGTAAAGATACAAACACTAGTGTTTCTTAAACTATTTTATCTTGTTTTTCTAGCCTATAGTCACAGTTCATGTCATGTTACGTAGTTGTTTTTGGATTATCTGTTTATACTTATGAATGTGACGACTCGATATTTTAATATTGGTGTTAATTATTTTTATTTAGTGAAGCTGTACTAGTATATACTATGAAGTAACATTATATACTTTTTGTAGTAAATATTAGTGTATAAAATACTAGTAATAAACAACCTTATGACATCAAACCCGTTATTTTTCGTTAATTTGACACTCAACTTTTCCGTTTTACAGCTTCTTCATAAGCGTTCCACTAGAACACAAACCGTAACATTCTACAACCAACAAGGAAATGGAAAATAAGTAACAAGAACCTATATAATGGTTCTAATCCTTCCCACAAGTTCCTATTAACAATAACTTTTGTGAACAGTATAGTTCTTTGTGTTAAGTGCCTCAAACGCAGTCCTTCTTAAACCACTTTTCGTACACTTTCATAACAAATATATATAGCATCACTAAGTCAACGTTGGCACAAAGCGCACCAGAAGGTATACACACATGCTAATTTGTCACAACCAACCATTTATGATTTACGATAAAAGGCGGAGTCATAAAAGTTGTGAGATGATAACGTCGATTCATTTGCTGTTGTCCTCTCAGTCACAGACACTTCGCCAGTGTTCTTGAAACGACCAGTTCTCATGATTGGCTCAGACAAGATGCATTTCGCACTCATCACACTCCCCTTTTCTGTTACCCCTCTTACGAGACAGAGGGGAGTTTGGACCCCGAGTAATGCATAACTACATGAACGTTTGGCAAACTTGACGGGTGCCCTGCGACCTTGCTGTCTTATCCGAAGTAGAACGGTCAATGTGATAGAAGACCGTCACACTTCTAACACAATTCATCCTGGCCGTCCTGTGCATGTATTCTACTATGTTCTTTCTCATGTAGGAAGTCAGTGACAGGTCCACCCAGCAAATACGTAGTCTAGAATTAACGTGTATTTCTGTTAACACTCTCGTTCCTCAGCTAAACAGGAGCATCTAAACAACGTAGAGCCACCAACACGCTATCACGTAGTCTCTTGTTTACTCGCCTCGCTGCTGCGCTTTTCGCCGGAAAGAAAGAAACGCCATACTTTTCGCGACTTCAGACAGGTCGGACTGTTCCTCGTTTTGTGTTGATCTGGCTACCTGCTCAGGAAAAAAAGTCAGTGTTTGACGAAACAGTCTTTGAGAGTTTTTGCTAAATTTGTTTTCTGGCATTTTTATCCAGATATTCTGAAAAAGACAGATTTTTAGAACAACAAATTATACTAATAACACATACATAGAAATTGAAGTTTTCTGAAATCCTTTATTATTATCATATAAAGGAAGAAATGTCATGTCTTCAGTTTGGTTATAATTCCGCGCCTCCTACGGTCAACAACACCCAGGTAAGGTTCTACTTCCTTTTACTATTTGTAAGACATTAATGTTTAATTATGTTACACGTGTGCGTGTAAAGGAGAGAGTTTTTGTTAAATTTATTTGAATTTTCTGCACCACAGCCAAATAAATAACTTGAACAACAGACAGCCCCTTGGAATTTCCGTATTCTTGAACGTTAAAATTATTTAATTTAGTTTTTACGATTACAACTTATCGGAAATGGTTTATTTGTTTTAAAGCGTAATACTGTTTTTTTGTTTAATTTTTCTTCGGTGCATTATAATATACTGGTTTCGGTATATTTTTAGTGACGTACTTTATCTCAGGCTTTGAAAGCGATTATCATTATCAAAATAAAATTATTATGCGACACCGTGCTAGAAAATGTAAAATAAAATAATAAAATACGTGAATATTAACGAGTCTTATGTGTATAAGTATACTAACTACTATATCTCTAGTTTCTACAAAATTATTACAACCGTTTTGCTTCTTTTGGTTTTTATTTACACAAGTTTTTCTTAAACCTCTATTATTACATGATGTGATATTATACTTTAGATATAACTGAATCCATTTACTTATTACGTTCTACGACACAGTAAATGCTGGACTGTTTATGGCTGATGTATAATGAATAACACTAAGTCTATAGCTAACAATGACGACGCACGGACTTATTAATTGCGAAGAGTATTCTGCATTAAGTAGCTGACTTCCGTTGATATTCCAAATAAATAATTTGATCTTTATTTTATTATAACAATTGTAAAAACATCCAAGCTGAAAGCCCGGTTTTAATTGACACCCAAGTACGTTTTTTTCCTCAAATACAGATGATATGAATTTATACTATTGCCTGAGAATCTCTAATATAAAGGTGACTTAAGATGTCGACATATACCAGATGTTTCATCATAATCCTTTATTAGCGTTACGTGTAGCAAATAAAAGTTTATTCTATTGTCCGAAAATCTCTAGTATAAAGGTGCCTCAAGATGTCGACATGTACCAGATGTTTCATCATAATCCTTTATTAACGTTACGTATAGCAAATAAGAAGTTATAATATTGTCTGCCATTGTATGGCGCATACATTAGAGTTTCTAGTGTCAGTCTGTTTGTAGGTGTGCAGAGAATATAAACAGTGGTTCAATTTCTCATCTGTTAAGAAACAGACAAACAAACTTCATAGGATATTAATGATACACACATGGCGAGCTCGTGGCGAATGTGGTGACGGCTATCCATCCCTCTCTGACTAATGCCTGCCATTGAAAGGCGTATTTGGCGTACGCTCTACGATAAGTAGCTTTACGGACTGGATGTTTGTGTCAAAGTAACTTCTGACGGGTCACACGATCAAGAATCGATAGCGCCTTTCTAAAAAATAATTTTTGCTTTCCGAAACGTAAATATTTTGAAATATTTGTTTTATTAGTACATCTGTTTAATTAAAAATCGAAACTATATTATTCTTTTTCTAAGCAGTCGAATATAGAATAAGATACATACTTTAAATTTGTATTTTATATACGCTAATAATCATATAGTTCTAGCATTATTTGCTAAAAGTGTGTGTTTATATATATGTGTGTGTGTGTACTTTGTAGAATAAAAAACTTAAGACGTTTAAAACAAGGTAGCAGACATAAGTTTTTCATACGCAATATCTATATGCACATCTATTCGGTTATATGCAGAAATATCTTTGATGGAATAAACTGGAAAGGATCTTATTCTGTATAATTTTCCCTTGTAATGTTGATAGAAATTTTGCTAATTTGGTCGATTTCGTGTATATTTACTGATCACCCATATTCCTAAATAACACAAAAAAAAATATTTTATGTTTACTCTAAGGCTTTCACTAATTTGGTTGATTTTGTGTAAATTTACTGATCACCCATATTCCTAAACGACACAAAAACATTATTTTATGTTTCCTCTAAGGTTTTCATTGATTTGGTTGAAACTGCTTTACCTGATGATTACTTATATTTGCGATACGGCACATTTTTGTTTCTTCAAGTGTAATACGAAATACCTTCTTAATTATTCTTAAGTGTTGAGTTTAATTGTCATTCTTTGTTCTGGGCCCAATCTGTGAAGTATAGAAGATAGAGCTTTTGTAGTCTTTTACTACAGACCTATATCCAACATATACTAACAAGCTCTTATATCACGGTGTAAGTTAAAACAAAATAAATTTATAATATTTAGATAAGATACTAATCTTTCATTTATAATTTACATGGATACAAACAAAAACCTCGGCATCTATTTTGAGCCAAAAACGTTATAAGTGAACCCTCTTTTATATTAAAAAAATTTGGTTTGATTATATACTTTTCCCAGAGCCTAAATGCGTTTGATTTCAAAAATAATATGAAAGATGATGCCCATTTTTGTTCTAATATCGATCTGTAAGAATCCGGTAACTATTAAGACTTCGTAAAGTAATGAATATTTAATAGAAGGCGATGTATTCTTAAGTAAAAATGGGGGGTATGTTTGTGCTTTTGGTAATGAATCTTTCATCAGATTCTATCTCTTGCCAATAAAATTCTTATCTGTTTTTAGTAGCTGTGTTTGTTTCGCTTGAATATGTAATTCGGTTTGAAAATCAACTGACCTCTATACTGGATATAATAGCGCTTCAGAGACTAACCAAACAAATATTCCCATTCGAGAAGAATGAAGCCATAATATGCAACAGTTTAAATACTTCTACCAAAGTTTAATTACACTTTACAGAGACCTTGGAATGAGAAATCACTCTTAAGAAGAGTGTATTCTATGCACCATTTTCGAATAATACCGGTCTTCATTTAATACAAGACAATCGCAAAAGGCTTCTCTTTTTATTATAATGATAATAACGGAACCCGTCGTAAGAGAAATTTAAATTTGAATATAATGTTTAATCCTTTCTCACTCAGTCATCCACATCCAGTTCTTCCGCTTCTGGTGATAACGAGACGATAGTTCTGTAAATAAAATGTCTGGTATAAAAGGCTTATTTATTCTTCCATTGTTTCCCTAATAGTTACTAATGCCGGGACAACCTGTAAGTGGACAGCCTCACTCAAACCCTACAGCGGGACAACCCTGCTGCGAATCCGGACGTCCTGTTCTCTCCGACCCGCTTACGGGACAAACACTGTGTTCATGCCAATATGACGCCCAACTCTTAAGTTACCAGCGGCTGGCAGCTACAGGGTTGCCGTTAAACATCTACGGAACCGCGGCAGCAGCGGCCTACAGCGGAGACCAACCAATTCTTCCTTTAACACCAGACCAAACAGCTTTCTACGCACCAACAGTAAGTTCTTCCGCTAAATTTTAGCATGACAATTCTACCGTTGAATTATAAATGTTTTACTAATCAGTATATATATATATATATTACTTTTTCGTGTTAATTTACTTATGCACGTAGCTGTACAAAGTTAAATACTATATATATATATATATATATATGATTGCCAGATAATTTGGAAGTGTAACGTTCATGTTCAATGACTCATATAAGAATAACTGATTCTGAACATCTTTAGTATAAGCAGATATTCAGATATTTTTATTTATTTATAACATTATTATGTTGAAAGTAATGTTAAGCCTTTGTTCAACAAAACGTCAGATGGTATAATTTCTAATTCGCTAATTGTTTATACTTTGGAAGAACATACACATACACAATTTACGTGTTATTTCAACTTTTGGACCCACGAAAACAGAAAAAAAATCAAAATAAAATAACTCGTAGAAACGAAAACAAATTCAAATAACTTACTAAACAGAGCGCTTGTTACATTCACGTTCCGCGACTGATTATTGTTCTGCAAACAACCAGTTAGAAAAGTAGAAACATGCTCAGAATCTACGTTAGTTTTATATTTTTAAATCACATTTTTCAGCCTTGCCTTTCACAGTTTGTGTTCATAGCTAGTTAGTCATTTCAGATCAAATACGCGAACAATGCTAGAACGCTCTTACGATCTCTCGTCTTCTTTGTTTTGAATAGAGTTAGGGCTCTCGAAATGAAGCGAAATCATTTTGTTTAATACAAACCTAACAATTATTGCTATACATTTACTATTTAATGTCGGAATGCTTCCTTGACACGCTTTGTCTCATCGTTTTCTTTCAATAACCTGTCTGTACTTACAACTTTGATGTGAGTAATAAATTATTTAAAAATTGGCGTTTCTCATTGCTGATATCTAAATAAATAAATAGCATATAACCTGGAGTATCTAATTTCTTGGGAAAAGTCATCATCAGTTATTTAGTTCGTCATTATTCTATTACAAAGAGGTCGGCTACTACTAACTTGTTCGAAGTATATATACAACCGATAGTCTGTAAAAAAAAATAGGACACGTTCTGTAAAACCACAATTCGAATAAAAGTGTAGAACTTGATACACATTAATAAAGCAGAACATTTATACATTATAAGTACTAGTGAAATACATGTTTACACAACCAGGATATAGGATGATAAAAGCTCTTTGGAGTTGATCCAATGTCTGAAACTCGCTTTGGCTTAGGTTTCACACGATGGTTTGTAACTGACGTTAGGTGAAGACTGAATACATGAAAGCCTGGAAGTTCACGAACAGCACATTTTCATGTATACAAAAAAAAGTAATTAAATATATTATATTTAAATATTTTAACCATATAAAGATACATATATAATTTCGGTTAGATGCACAATTACGCCATTATAAGGTAAAAAAAAATGTATGTTACTTATTTCAACCAATAAGAGTTAAATAGACTAAATTTTCTAGTGATGTTCCTTTCATTGAATAAGTTGCTTAGACAAATTTAACATATTAGCCTGGCTGTAATATTTGAAGGTAACATGATAATCTAAAGAACGATAGCCTCGGTTACTTGGGTTTTAATAAATATAGCGTTTAGTATCGTAGCTACTTGCGTTCGAACAGCCAATTATGTGGCAGTGGATATATATTTTGTTGTTGTTGTTATAAGCTTATCAGCATCTGTAAAGTCTACTTTAATAGGTTAAGAGGATTTACCCAACAACCCAGAATTTTAAACTATCTCGTGCGTATATACGCACTAATACTTAAATCCAAAGATAATTTCCCCTTACAAACTAGCACGTAGGAAGATAATCATGTCATCAGCCGTCACCTGACATCATAGAATAGCAGACTATAACGTGAAACAAAGCCAGAGAAGATGACAAAGGTACCGTCATTCCTGCAATTATGACAATTTTGAAGGCCTGGTATGGTTTAATGGTTAGATCACTCGACTCGTAATCTGAGGGTCGTCGGCTCGAGTACCGATCCTGATCGCCTAGGGGCGTTATAATGTGGCAGTTAATCCCACTATTCGTGTGTAAAGAGTAGCCCGAGAATTGGTGGCGGGTGGTTTTGATTAGCTGCATTTTCTCTAATATATCACTTAAAAATTAGGGAGGGCTATCGCAGAGTAGTTTCGCACGAAATTCAAAGAGACACAAATAAGTTCTTAACATGTTCACAAATAATCTGTTTTTAAACTCAACATTTTAGTTGTCAACCCCTATAAAAGATGACTGTAACTTCTAACAAGTAAGTAAACAAATACTCTGACACAAGCTCATATTTTAACCGGTTTAACTGTGGAAATTTATTGTTTTTCTATACTTTTTTATGTTATATAATAATGTCTCATGTAAACTGAAAGTCCATATTTAGCGCCATCTATTAGTATGTCTTGTAATATTGTTTTATAGTTAAACCAAATTTGTGCATGAATTTAGCTGCTTCGCTCATCTGTCACAATGAACTAAATAAAGACTAGGTAATAAAATAATTACTGTCATAAGGGAATTATACAAAATAAAAGTAATAATAAGATGACAAAATTAAAATAATGATAATGTTTACGTAATAATTCTAATAAAACCAAATATTAAAAATTTAAAAGTTACAGTGGTAAGCATTGTCTTAACTTTTCTAAATTATATATATATATATATATAATGAGAAATGAATAACTGCAAGTAATTTTTTTCAAAAGGTGTAATTGAGCTGTTTCGCTTATATTGCAACAGTTTAGACCAACAAGCGTAAAAGAAAAATATATTGCGGTATAATTGAAATCATTTACTTTGTAGTTTTTCTTGTTGATGTTCTGCTTGTGAAAATAGTTTTCCACTTTCTCTGGAAATTATCAGATTAAAAAAAGTCAGGAATTAGCTTTTATATCAAAAATGTTTCTTTCCCAGTCTATTGTTTAATCGGTGATTTTACAACTACGGCAAATTTACACAGATGTAAGTAGAAGACAGTTACACTTATTACCATAGAATCTGATATCAGATCTTGTTCATATAGACAAGTTTTTGAACTGTTGAAAATGATGTGGTCATTGACTCTGAAATGCGAAAGTTTTAGTTAACCGAGGTGGTTATACTTCTTTTCTAAGATAAACTATATATGAAAACAGATGCGCGTATTTTTTCTTTTACATTTGTGGACAGTATAACTGACTAACAGAAGAACTGTTGTAATTTACCATAGAATTATTATGATTCTATCTTACATGAGTTAAGATAGTTACAACGGAAAACGAGTTCGGATTGTTAAAATCTGTGTTTATTAAAGCACAGGGTAAAAATAAAAGCAGGTTCACTTGAAAGAAAACGTGGCGCTTTTGTTAGGAGCCTCTCCTGTGGCACAGCGGTATGTCTGCGGACTTACAACGCTAGAATTTGAGTTTCGATACCCGTGGTGGGCAGAACACAGATAGCCCATTGTGTAGCTTTGTGCTTAATTACAAACAAACAAACAGTTTGTTAGGAACGTTAACAATCAGATGATTGCAATATTTCTTGTATTTTTTCTTTCTTACCCTAAATATTTTATGTAAAGAAATATACGATTTTCAACTTCAGGAAGAACGTTATACTTTAATAAACCAATATTTTAATACGCTTAAAGTATTATACTGTACATATAAGTAATATTTCACAGGAACATTTGTCTCTGGTATTGTACGAAGGACCTCTTAGGGAGTAACTTGTGGGAGACAAAAAATTAATCTCAAGTACTATTTTTACAAGTTTCTGGTTTTGAATTCGAAGTGACAAGTTAAGAGGAATCTGGAGAAAAACTATCTGTAGTTAACATGAATTACATCACAAATTGTAGACTTATCTGGTTCTAACGCTTCGCCAGTTTTCGTTGTTTAAACCGTATTTTGTACCAATATTTCGACTTTCATCTTCGCCAATGCACAATGTAATGTCAAAACTGTGTACATCTAATATGAAATTATTTCAGTTAGCACTTTGTACATCAAAAAATGTCGTATCATCAATATTTTTTATCTGAAATGCCTTAATATATATATATATATATATATATAAATATTTGTTAAAATATTCTAAGAACATATTTTTGTGGTAAGGTTAAGGGTGTGTTTTATCACTTTTCGTAGGAATGAATAGCTATCCACATTATTTTATATCTTTTGTACGGCTATATCTAAACTCCTATTAGTTTTGTTTTAGTTATTTAAAAAAAAAATGTTAAAATCAAATCGCCTTAGCGCTAAACGATCAGATGTGGAATAATTCTATATTTAATATTATATTATGTTTGTTGTAAATTCGTATTCTCCATTAATCTTATCACTAGCTCTTAGCTACACTAGTGTTTTGTGTAGTACATTAATTTGCATGAAAACTTGAAAAGCAGTTCTGAATCGACGTGGTTATTTTCAATACACAGATTGAAATTAGATTATGTCACCTTTTTTTTTCAATAATATATATATACATGTCTGCAGGGTATGTTTCAATGAAACATTGCCAAAACAGGATGACGCCAACTTTATATGTCATTTTTTGGTAAATGAGCAACAAAAGTATATATTGTCTGGTATTTGTTGATAACCACGTGTTAGAACTGAAGCCTGAATTATATTGCATTTTTTTAGCACTTAAATTATGATACGGTTGTATATACATTTATCAATGTATTTATCAATACTTGTGAAACGTTTGTACAAAAATGTACTGTTTTGTATTCAATTGAGAGCACTTTACAATAAACAAATGACATATGACGTAAAATTTTAAAGAAACAATATTTAAATAGAGCTTATTTTAATTTAATACAATTTTTCGCCAAAATAGTCTACTTCAGACCTGAGTCACTGTAGAGTACAAAAAGCATTTGATCCTGACTGTTATTATATCATTTTCTCAAAATAATCTTTTGTATAATTTCATACACAACATTTCTGAAAAGAAAACACAATAAATAAAAATTTCACAAAATTTGGAAAC